ATTGCACTACATTTTGGGGCAGCAAAGAGAAAAGCTTTAAGTCTTTCCCAATGAGGGATGTTGGATTCAGCTATGCCACAACTCCTGGCTTTGGGATATGGAGTTTAGGTAGCAAAAGCTGTTGCCCTCTCTAAAATCCTTGCCCTAGGGGTTGCTGTTTACTTCTAACCTGCTGACAGCTTTCACATTTTACCCCATCCTCAGGTAGAGAATCTGAGTACATTGTAAGCAAACCTAGGTATAACACACACAGGTATAAACTGATGTCACTATGTCCCATTTCTCCCTTCTGTTAACAGTGCAAAAAGACAAGGCCAGCAGCACACAGAATCTTACCTCATCATATCTGTCATTGTAGTTGGTCTTGACAGCCTCCACCAGCTTTGCAAGTGCTCCCTTATCCTCCCTGTTGATGACAGTTTTAGTTCCTTTAGAGCCTCGATATAACATTTTCCATAAATACCTTGCCATAGAATTTGAGAGATTCTAGTGACAACCCAATTATTCAAGTTAAGCAAAAGCATCACTTTTAAAGGGTTAACACTCAGAGTCTGCACTGCTTGCATTTTAGAGTAACCACCCTTTTGGCAAACCAAAATAATCTGCACCTTCAGAATTTGATAGACATTTTTATCAGACACTACAGAGGTAATATTTTAAATTTTACTATTTCAGAGAGACCCAAGTTTGCTACCCACCTGCCTAAAGCCTGTACTTAGGGAAGTTTGCTTTCTCCACAAGACAATCAAGAGAGCTCCCAGAACACTTACGGGTTAACCTGGGTGAAGGCCACGGAGGTGCAGGTCTTCCTGTGGACCAGCCTGCCCAGCCTGGCTTTGCCCTTGATGATGCAGTAGGGAACTCCCATCTTACGGCACAGGGCTGGCAGGAAAACCACCAGCTGAAAGGGAAGGGAGAGCTGAGTACCTGAGAGAGAACATCCCCTTGTGCTGGCTGCCAGCCTGGGCTGTGCCAGCTGCTCAGTGTTAAAAAGCTCGTTTTGCTCTTCACTGCTGCTTCAGGTGAAGAAATTCAAAACATCATTGCAAGGGCCCAGCCTCACTGTCCAACCAGGACAACTACAAACATGCACAAGCATCCAGTTCTTTTTTTTTGTGCATTCTCTTTCATGCAATTTGTCCTAAACCCCAAATGTGCCTTAAAAGCACTTCTGACCCCACCCTGAGTTACACTGTAACATGCTCACCTCAATGGGGTCTACATCGTGGGCAATAACAACAAGCTGAGCTTTCTTGTTCTCCACCAGAGTTGTGACAGTATTGATACCTGAAAAACAAGTTCTAGATAAGCTTTGATTCCTCTCAGTCAATTTCAGAACTTTCTTGCAAGCCAACTCTGATTCCATAGCACAACATCACTATGGAAATCACAAAAACTTCACAAAAACATCAGTGGCACAAAGACATTTCATGGACAACTTGCTAAAGCTCAGGGTTAAAAAGCTCGTCTATTTTGCTCTTCACTTTGAGCTCAGGTGAAGAAATTCATAACATCATTGCCATAGCTTGTCCAAGGCTGGCTGAAGAACCAACTCTTTATCAGTTTTCTCTCTCCCACACTCCACATTCCCCCAGCTCAGGTGCAAAGTCACCTGCTCGGAGGACGGGCGGCCGCTTGGTTGGAGTATCTCCCTTCCCTGCAGCCTTCTGCTCAGCACGAGCCAGCAGCCTCTGCTTCTTCTCTTGCTTGTTTTCAGGCCTGTATTTGTGTGCCAGCTTCAGGAGCTGCGTGGCTGGAAGAGAACACCTACTAATTAGTTGCATGACCTGAAAATCTGAGCATTCTTTTTAAAAAAATACTGCAGTGCATCAGCGATCTTGGTGGTTGGCATCATTTTTTTTTCACAGCGAAAAGTGATCATCATCTGCACAGTCCCAGAGAAGAGCACCCGAGAGCCCCTCTTTGCTGTGATGGCACTGAGAGCTCCTTGACTGTCTGGATGAGGAAATGCCTGGGGATCCCCACAGCAATTATGGTTAGAGGTGGTTCATGGCTCTTTTAAAGCAAGGAGCATCTATAAGGAGGAAATTATTCTACACAGGTCCAAAGTTTTTTGTATTCACAGAAGAGCCCTAAATCCATTCTTCCTTCAGTGCCAGCTTCCCCCCAAAACCTGCACTCCCACAGATGTCTCAAGCAATCTGTTTATACCACCCTGGATAGGTCTACATCAAGCTGGAAAAATGGAATCACAGTTAAGATTTAATGCAGGGTTTGGGTCAGTAAATAAAGCTTTGATATTTTCTAAACCTCTTTTCAGGGTACACAGCAGCAATCCAAAATTTAAGCCAGCCAATTGATTCTGACACCACCCTGGTGGCTATTAAAGCCTCCCTAGTGTTAAGGCTTTGTTAAGCCCTTTGTTAAGGCTCATTTTGGTTTCTTTGCCCTTTTTTGAGGCACACCCCATTTAGAACCCAAGGCTGGAGAAGCTTGTGGGGCTCATGCTCACCTGTCTGGCGGTCCAGGGCCTGGGTGAACTGGTTGACGGCAGGAGGCACCTTGAGGCGTTTGTAGAGGATGGACCTCTGGCGCTGCAGCCGAATGTAGCGCGGCCATTTCACAAACCGCGTGAGGTCACGCTTGGGCTGGATATCCTGTCCTGAAAAAACACAGCCTTGAGCTCAGGGCTGCCCCAAATCCACAGCAGCAGCAGCAGCAGCACGGGAAAGGCACAGGAGCATCAGTGATCTTGGTGGTAAGGTGTCAGCACGACCACTCAGATAGCAAATATTCTTTCACATCATCTGCGCCTTGTACAACAGCACTGCACAAAGCCTGCAGTGGTTTTTAGTGTTTAGAGCTTAATCTGTTCATCAAACAAGAAAAAAAAGCCATGGGTGCAACTACCCCAAATATCCATTTACTCACCAATGCCAAAGTTCTTGGGCCTCTTCTCAAAGAGGGGATTAACAACCTTCTTGGCCTCCTGCTTCTTGACTACAGCAGGGGCCGGTGCCACCTTCTTGCCCTTGGCCTTCTTTCCTTTCGGCTGCAAGAAAGAAACACACTTGGTCTTCTCTTGCCTCCAAAACTCGCGTGCTCGGAAATTACCTAGAAATGCATTTGTTTTCCCAGGCATTTCATCAGCCTGCGGCCTCCCATGCTCGCCCTCCTCTTCCAGAGAGAGCAACTCCATCCCTTTACGTTTATAAGGTTTATAAACCACCCCGAGGGGAAAAAAAAGATTAAAACGAGCGTTATGATCGCTTCGCCCGGCCGGGCACTCCTGAGAGCAGCCAAGATACCCCCACGGTGATTTACCGACCACCGGGACCCGACCTACCCCGGGAAGGCCCTGCGGCCCGGCCGGGCTGCCCGAGCCCGCAGCAGCCGCAGGCTCCCGGCCCGGGCTGCCGGGCCCGCGCGCGGCCTTCCCCCATCACGGCAAATCGGGCACGGAACATCGCTGCACCGCCTCCCCCGCCAGCCGAGCACCCTCGCGGCGCTGCCGCAGCCCATGGGCGGCGGCGGATGACCCCCGATGGCGGCGGATGGCGCCGGCCCCCCCGCGCCGCCGCCAGCACTCACCATCTTGGGCGGCGGGAGAGAAAGGCGGAGCGAGGCATGCCGGGAGATATCTACGTTGCGCGAGGTCTCGCGAGAGCGCGGGAGGGCGGGGCCGGGCCGTGAGGGAGGCGCGGCCATGGCGCAGCCCCGGGTGCTGCCCCAGAGCAAGGAGACCCTGCTGCAGTCCTACAACAAGCGCCTCAAGGACGATGTCAAGTCCATCATGGACAACTTCACCGAGATCATCAAGACGGCCAAGGTGGGCCTGAGCGGGCTGGATGCTCCCATGGGAGCGCCCCGGGTGCTAAGCGGAGAAGGGCGGGGGTACGCGAGGAAGAAGGGGCTGTGAGGGGAGAACCTTTTGTAGAATCCCCGAATGCTAAAGGCCTTAAAGGGATCTTAAAATTGTTTCTTTCCGCCCCCTGCCGTGGGCAGGGCCACCTTCCACCAGACCAGGCTGCTCCAAGCCCTGTTCAGCCTGGCCTTGAATACTGTATGAATTATACAGATGTAAATTTTACATACGTAATGTGTAAGCTCATTTCGCATCTATAGGAAATTCACGCACATATCCACATCTATAGGAAATTCACACTCATATCTACATCTATAGGAAATCCACACACATGTCCACATATGTGGGAAATCCACACACATATCCACATCTATAGGAAATTCACACACATATCCACATCTATAGGAAATTCACACACATATCCACATCTATAGGAAATTCACACACACATCCACATCTATAGGAAATTCACACACATATCCACATATGCAGGAAATTCACACACATACCGACATATATATTCCCATATATTGTACCTTATAACATAGTAATTGCCTGTTTGAATTTTAAGTATGTAGAGGTGGATTTGTGTATTTTTTTCCTTAGATTGAGGACGAAACTCAAGTCTCTCGAGCAACCCAGGGTGAACAAGATAACTACGAGATGCATGTCAGAGCTGCAAATATTGTGAGTAGCCCTGTACTGCCCAGACCTGTGGGCAGCACCTCCTGCAGGGGCTGTTTGGTTCATTTTTGGGTCTTTGTAACACTCCCAAGGACTGCTGCCAGCACAGCAACTTCACGTTTGGGGTGGCTGGGGAAGGTAAGGTAAGAATTCTGTCAGAATCCTCATATTGTGGGGAGGTTTTATCCAAAGTTTGGGCTGCAGGAGCAGCTTGGGAGGTGCTGGAGCTGGAGCAGAGCCCTGATGTGGTGTGTGATTTTTCTCGCTGCTGCAAGGTCCGAGCTGGCGAGTCCCTGATGAAACTCGTGTCCGACCTGAAGCAGTTCTTGATCCTCAACGATTTCCCCTCGGTGAACGAGGCCATCAACCAGCGCAACCAGCAGCTCAGGAGTCTGCAGGAGGAGTGTGACAAGAAGCTGATTGCCCTGCGGGATGAGATCTCCATTGACCTCTACGAGCTAGAAGAAGAATATTACTCTTCCAGGTACAAATAGGGCAGTGGACTCTGCCTCACAACTCCAGGCCTTTTTGGGGTAGTTAGTCCAGACTATCAAATAGCCCTTAGAGTATAGGTGTTGAGAATGTTCCCCAGAAATTTTCAGTCCTGTTGTTAATTAGGTCAAACTCTTTTTCTTCAACTAAAGCAGCTGCCTTTTCCTTGTGGATATCCTGCAGGGTTTAAATGTCCTGGTGAAGGAGGTGTTCACAGCAGCCCAGGTTTGATAGGTAATTTCCTTAGGCTCCTGTTTAATCATTAGAAGATGAATTTCCTTGGGGGAAATCCCTCTGAAGGAGCCTCTGGCTCCCTCCCTGCAGAGACCAGCTTGCTGAGCTGTGCTGATGTCAGCTGGTGTCACCTCACCTTGGTGGTGAGTCCTTTCACAAGTGACCTGGTCACACATTGTGCCTTTTCCTTCACAGCCCACTGCCCCCAGCTGCCTCCAGCCCTGCTGGGGTCAGAATTTGCAAGGAGCAAAAAGCCTTGCTCAGTTTAATTGAATTATGAAGTATTGTGATAGGATTTTCTAAGGAATTACTTATTTCTGATTTGTTTGTGGGATTTTTAATATTTTTAAAAGCCTCTTATTTAGCAAACAGACTTTAGAGAATTCAGACACTTTATTTTTTTTTTGTCATGCACTCCAGCACTTCTAGTTAATGATTCAGTTAATGAAAGCAGAAGAAAACAAATGTAAACCTGGTTATTTTGGCTGCACTTTCCAAGCTAAGTGAAGTCAGTGCAATAATTCTAGGACTTTTAAACAAACACTCAACTTTTAAAAAATCTTACTTAAAATTTTACTGACCAGGTTTTCTATGTTTGCCTTTTCCATTTTTCTAAGAATGCTGAATGCCTGTAACCCCAGCTAAGTCAACTAAATTGCTCAAGATCTTTGAAAGTAAGGCCATTGTTTATGAGTAATATATGTATTTTTAAGAGTTAAAAGATAATAATATGACACAGCTTAGAGGTAAAAGTTTAGAGTTGCTTTTCAAACTTCAGTTTTTTGAGGAGGTTGTGATGATCACAAGCCCAAGCACCCGTGCAGGTGCTGATAGGTCCATGACATAGCAGTGAGCTTCTCCAGAGGGATGTGGTGTGGGATGAGAGTGCCCCACAAGTGCCAGGCATGCTTCCCTCCCCTGTCCCCAGGCTGCCAGCACTGTGTGCTGGTCACTCTCACTTTTGCCCTGAGGGGTTCTGGCCATGCTGGCATGGTCTGCTCACCTGCCTGGCCCACATAAAGCAGCCCTTGCTGGCAGAACTAACATGCAAGCACAAATCTTGGTGTACATCAGATGGATTTGCCTTCCTGCTCTTTCTTAAGGGCCATGAGGTGAGGAAACCTGACAGCTCTGCAGAGCTGTGATCTGACACTTTGTTATCATGTAGCACTTGGTCATTTGCTTTTAGCACTTCCTCCCTTCCTGTGCTCTTTCCTGTCTTTTTTCTGCACCAAAGAAATTGTGTCTGTGTAAATACAGAAATAGTGATTTATTCAAAGTCCTTTTATAATTAGAATACTACAATATTTTTAATGAAATTTTATTATCTAATGTGGGGGAAAAGGGTTTCTGTTATGTCACAGCCATGTTCCAGTGGCTGTCAACACAACAGCCTGTTTGCCCCCAAGGGGGAGTTCCTTGCTGTCCTGGGAATGCCTGGTCAGTTGTAGGGTCAGGTGTTTGCCAGGCTTTTTATGTGCACATGGGCCTTTTGATGAGACCCAAAAGCAGGTCCTTGAAACTAAACCTGAGAAGATTGTCCTGAAGGGATCTGTTTTCCTGCCCTGTGATCAAGTAGTTTTCTAGAGTGTCCCTCTGCCCTCAGACTGGCTGGGTGCCTCAGGGGAGCAGTGAAATCCCTTCCACACCCTGAGGAGCCCTGCCAGGACAGAGCAGCAGGCTGGCCAGTGCTCCTGGCTGTGCAGAGCTGCTCACTGACCCTGACTCTGAGGAGTGCTAGCTGAGAGGTGGAGCTTAGACTCTGCAACTGTTCTAACTGGGGCAGCAGGAGAAGCAGTCGTGCTTCTGACACAGCTGAAACATGGTTAGCAGCTCCCCTGCCATGAAGTGTGGATGCTGTGCTCAGGTTCTCCTGCAGCTCCCCTGCCATGAAGTGTGGATGCTGTGCTCAGGTTCTCCTGGGAAGTGGTGGCCTGAGGTCTGACAGAGCAGGAGTTGTAGTTCTGGTTCAGTCCTGATGGTCTTTGTTAACTGAACCCAGCTCCACTGTGTTGGGGACTGATCTTCCAAGGGATTTTACAGAAGCCCCAGATATAAAACCTGTGTCCACTGCCTTCTCACTTCTCCTGCAAAGCCAGCTGGGTGATGCTGCCAGAAGAGAGCTCAGCTTGCCCCTAGTGCTTTGTGTGCTTGTTCCCCAAAGTGGTAACTGCAAGTCCAGCTTGCCCTCTCTCATCCTAACCCCCAGACCTGCATTTGTGTTCCATTGCTCCCTCCTCTGAGATCACAGGAGCTGTCTTGAGTGTGGGGTTAAATCTCACATGTTTCATGTTTGTGCAATATGAACTGTCTCATATTTCTATACTTAAAATATTTCCCTAAGCATCAGTCCATACATTACAAATGTAAATAAAGCTGCAACAACAAAATCACTTGACCCACTGGGTTTGTTTTTCTCTGAATGCAAGCTTGCTTCCTGCTCCAGCACTCTCTTTGTCTTGGGTGTCTCTTGTGTGTGCAGCTCCTTCTTCTCTTTGGGATTTGTGTTGGTTTTGTTCCAGTTCCTTCCGTGTTTCTTTTTCGTTTTGGCCCTTCCACATTATGTTTTCCTCAGAGTATGGGCAAGAATTAGCCAGTTGTTTAAAAACCTTATTTTCCCACACTGCTGGTTCATGCAGTGTTGGAGTCCAGCCAGCTGCTTTTAGAAGCACTGTTAGCTCAGGCTCTTTGGGAAAAGGCAGGAGCTGTCAGGATTTAATCATCAAACTGGGAAGTTTCATTGGGAGATCCAAACCTGTGGAGCACTTTTTTGAAAGGGCAGGGGTGCAAATAGGATTTTTCTTTATTGTGACAGGGACAGGCCCCAAAACAGTTGTGGCAGGTTTTTTTGCTGAAGTAAAATTTAAAGCAGGATTTCTATTTTTTCCTCACATAGGTTGCAGTCTAATTCCAAGTAAAATAATTGTGGGTAAGGTCCATATCTCACTCATCAGTAGCAGAAGTTGCATATTTGGGGGTGCCAGGACTTCAGCTCAGATCTTTTCAGAGACTTGGAGTGTCTGGTTTAGAATTGAGCCTCTGTTTTATTTTGTAGCCATAGTTCTTCTCTAAAATTGCCCCAATCCTCACCAGGCCCAAGAGATTTTGGGACCAGCCCTTAGTTGGGGTGTCTTGGGAAAAGCCAGTGTCACACAGTTTAGGATGATTTCATGAACACAGACCTTACATCCAGCATTTTTTTTGCCATTTTCTTAATGCTTTGCTTCTGTCTTGCTCCCTCCACCCTTTCCATCCCTCCCCTCCTCTGTCACCACACCTGCTCTCTCCTCACTGGGGTTGTTTGTTCTGGAAAGCTACAGTCTGTGTGACAGCAATGATCTCCCACTGTGCGAAGCCTACTGGAGACAAGACTTTGCCACGCTGTCCCCGGAGAGCCTCTCGATGCCTCTGGCAGCTGCCGCGGCCGAGCAGAGCGTTGTCACCTCGCAGAGTTCCACCCCGTCACACCCGCACGTGAACGGGCACGGGGCGGGCCCCGCCGAGCATTCCTGACCCGGACCCGCTGCTGCCGGGCCGCTTCACCGGGACGGCCCCGCCGCGGCCCCGCGCTGCTCCAAGTCTTCCTCCTGCTGTCCTGAGGAGGCGCTGGGGCTGTGCTGGCAGGGCTCTGCCCCCTGCGTGGCTGCAGTGCTTCCTCCACGCCAGGACCTTGCCAGGAGTGTTCCTGTCCCTTAAGAGATATGTAGACACAAAGTGAATCTCATTATAAGAAATTAGAGTCGGGTTTGCTTTAACGTGATCGTTAGGTGTAGAGTTCATTAGAGGTCTTAGAAGTTTGTTTCCATGTGAGTGTTGGGAGGTGAATTTCTTTGGGATAAACTTGAGCCAAATGTGGGGGCAGTGAGCATGTTGGGGTTTTTACTCTGCTTCCCAAGGTTATTGACGTTCTGGCTGCTTTAAAGCTCTCTCAGGATGGCATGTGACAACCTCTGGTCTACTGTAAAGAGTCTTATAGTACTTTTACACAACAGTCTGCACTGTCAAAATGCTTTACAAACTTGAACTCTTGATTTGGAAGGAGGATCCCAGGACACCCTTATGGAAGAGCAGTGTTCCCCCCTGGAAGAAGAACAGGCAGACAGGGATCAGGCTGAGGGATCAATGACACCACTTGCTCAAAGCCACAAAGAGAAGCAGTGTCATGCTTTAGTCAGTCAATTCCTTCCTCAGTGTTTACACAGAAATTCCTGTTAATGTAGTCTGAGCTAACATGGAGCCACTGTTTATGTTGGCTTTTAGTTTTGTCTAATGGAAAAATCTTGAGAGCAGTGAGGAATACTCAGTTACTCTGTTTCCTTCCAAAGAAACCCATTTGGTGCTTGGTCTGCAGCTGTTCAGCAGCTCAGCACATCTTCTGTCCTTTCCTTTTGTGGTGGCTCTGCCTTGGCTCGAGCTGTGCTGCTGAAAGGGAGATGCCACTGACCTGAACAGTGTCACCGCAGCTCGGTGTCACGGGCACCACAGAGCCACAGGGCATTCCAACAACTGAGCTGAGCTTCCCCAGCTTTCTGCTGTAATGTCTCGTTTCTTAGGATGTGAATTTTTGCCATTATTTTTTTGTTTCTTTTTCCTCCATTCCATTTATTTTTGTAACTAGGTGATTTAATAAAACCGACTGTTTTGTATAATTTTTAAGGCGTGTGTTTTCAGCCTCGAGGCTTTGTGAAAGTGTCACAATATGAGCGTGCACTTGCGAGGAGGGGATGAGCTCCCTGCAGCTGTTCCCGTACAGGGGCTGCACAAACCCTCCCGAAACTGGGCACCTCACCCCGGTGCTGGGGCAAGCTCGGTTTAGTCCTCCAATAAATGGAGATTTGGCAAAAAAAAAAAACAACCTTTGGGACGTGCGGCGGAGGCGAACCGGGGGCTGCGGGGAGGTGTGTGGAAGGAATGGGGCTCGCAGCCTTCCCGCAGAGCCCGGAGCAGCCCCGGTGTGGCCGGGGAACGCGGTGGGTTCGCGGCAGCCCCGGTGTGACCGAGGCAGCCCCGGTGTGGCCGGGGGACGCCGTGCATCCCCGGTAGCCCCGGTGTGACCGAGGCAGCCCCGGTGTGGCCGGGGGACGCGGTGCATCCCCGGCAGCCCCGGCAGGGCGGCTCCGTGCGCCCGGCGCTGCCGTCACTTCCCGGCCGGCGCGCTCCATCCATCACTTCCTGCCGGCGGCTCCACGAGGAGCACGCCGCTGTCCCCAGCTGTCCCCAGCTGTGCCCAGCTGTCCCCGGCAGCTCTGGGACCCGGGGCGGCAATGGCCAGCCTGGCCGCCCAGGACTCCTACCTGCAGGGCTTGGCCAGGAGGGCCGGCGTGCAGCACGCCCCGGAGTCGCGGAAGAGGAAATTGGGTACTGGAATTGTAACGCTTCGGTTCTGTTCTCTGGCTGGTTTGTGGGAGGCTGGGCGCGACAGCCGTGCCCCCACGGGGTGCTTGGCTCGGGATTGTGCCGGTTTCTAACAAAAAAAAACCAATCTGCTCAAACACGGAGCTCTCGAACACGTTGCACACATTATACTGGGAACCCTGGCAGTCAGTGGTCTCCATTCTCTGTTATGATGGATGTGGAGAGCTGGGATTTTACAGAAGTGTGCAAGGATGTTTGGTCTAATTAAATAAATCCTGAAACGTATAAGTTTTGAACATTAAGATATGCCATTGTGATGCTAGAACTTTAGTGTTCAGTAATAACAGAATGTTATGAGTGGGAATGCAGCATTGTTCTCTTTTGTGTAATTTGTTTTTGCCTTCTAGTGTCTAAGCCAGGCCAGCCCGAGGATGCTGGCAGACAGGTCAAAAAACAGAAGAAAAAGAAGCCCAGGAAGCAAACTGAGAAGAAGAATGCTCCTTCAGCCAAACAGGTGGTTTCTAACAGCAGTAAACCCACTCCAGGACAGAAAGCAGCCCCTCAAGCCAGCAAATCATCTCCACAGGGTGGCACACAGAACAGAAAGGAGAGTTTGGCTACAGGTAAGAATCTCAGCTTTGCCATGGTCTGATTAAAGTGACGTGGGCTGAGCTGGCTGCTTTTCACTTGCTTCACACAAGTCTAGTTTGGAAAGCCTAAACTGAGAACATCTTTGCTTATTTGATGTGCCCCAGAGGCTTTTGCCTATGGACAGGAATTTGTGCCATCACCACTGGGTGGCTCTCTGGAAACGGTGTTTAACTGAACTGCAGAGGTTTTGTGCATGTGGTGGATGCAATCCCTGTCCTGCCAGCTCAGCTTTCTTTTATGACAATGAAAAGCCAGATCACAGAGAAAAGATGTCCTGAGCCTCTCTGTTCCACAAGCTTGGTACTTGTCTTTGGCTTGCCAGGCAGCCCCAGGGCATACCAGGCCACTGCTGGCAGTGTTGAATGATGAAAGGGGAAATTCTAAAGAAACCAATGAAATAGAAACTCTGGGTTTCTTTGGATTTTCCGTTCCATTCACAGCATCTAAAGAGTTCCCAGAGTTTTTCCCATAGCCAGAGAAAGTGCTACTGTTTAGCTGGTGCTGCTTTTTCAGTATTTTTATTTTCTCTCTCTAATTTTCAGGAAGTAAAAGTGAACTGAGTTCTCCTTCTGTTTCTGCAATCAGTCTGTTGCGTCAGAGACTCCACGAGAAGATTAAAAAGGCTTCTGGGCAGGTATGGGACTCTGCATGTGTATCCATATGTGTGTTTGTGCCCCTGAAATCCTCCCCAGCCTCCCAGGGTGTGTGGGGACAGGATCTCATGGGCTCAGGGTCTGAGCTGATTCCATTTCCTAAGGAATTGCCTGTAGGGATTGCCAGGTGACCTGTGTATGTTCTGTGGAAAAACCTATGAGAAAAGATGTGGCCAGCTTCAAAGAGAACATGCCTTTGGTGATTTTTAGGAAAAAGCAAAATGGTGAGAGCCTGCAAGGGAACAGCTACAGGCTGTTGGGGGAAAGCAAAGGGTTTGAAATGTTTCTGTGTTTAGTGTCTCTAACAGTGGAGTCACAGCTTCACATCACAGGTGGTGCTTCTTAGGAGGAGTTTGAAATCAGAACTGGGCAACAGCCCACTTTTACTTCTGCTTTAGCCCTTTAAGGCTTCTCATTCATGTCCATCCTTCTCCTTAGGATAATGCCAAGGAGTTAACCCCTGCAGTGCTGGAGAAGAGGCAGCGGAGGAAGTATGAGAGGGAGAGAAAGAAACGCCGACGGAAGGAGTTGAAGATGAAGGCAAAAATGGAGAAGAAAGAGACTGAGGAGGTACCAGCTGAGCCAGAAAACAAAAAGGAGGAGAGCAAAACTGACATTGTCTTCAACAGGGTTAAAGTTCATGCCAGGCTCAGAGTCTGAGCTGATTCCATTTCCTAAGGAATTGCCTGTAGGGATTGCCAGGTGACCTGTGTATGTTCTGTGGAAAAACCTATGAGAAAAGATGTGGCCAGCTTCAAAGAGAACATGCCTTTGGTGATTTTTAGGAAAAAGCAAAATGGTGAGAGCCTGCAAGGGAACAGCTACAGGCTGTTGGGGGAAAGCAAAGGGTTTGAAATGTTTCTGTGTTTAGTGTCTCTAACAGTGGAGTCACAGCTTCACATCACAGGTGGTGCTTCTTAGGAGGAGTTTGAAATCAGAACTGGGCAACAGCCCACTTTTACTTCTGCTTTAGCCCTTTAAGGCTTCTCATTCATGTCCATCCTTCTCCTTAGGATAATGCCAAGGAGTTAACCCCTGCAGTGCTGGAGAAGAGGCAGCGGAGGAAGTATGAGAGGGAGAGAAAGAAACGCCGACGGAAGGAGTTGAAGATGAAGGCAAAAATGGAGAAGAAAGAGACTGAGGAGGTACCAGCTGAGCCAGAAAACAAAAAGGAGGAGAGCAAAACTGACATTGTCTTCAACAGGGTTAAAGTTCATGAAGAGAACGAGTTAAACAAGGTCCAGAAGAAGAAAGAGAAGAGGAAAGCGGTGAAAGGCAATATCACTCCTCTGACAGGCAAGAACTACAAGCAGCTGCTGAGCAGGCTGGAGACCAGGAAGAATAAACTGGAGGAGCTCAAGGAGAAGGACGAGAAGAAAGCTCAGGAGCTGGAGACCAAGATAAAATGGACAAATGCCCTCTATAAGGCAGAAGGGGTGAAGATCCGTGACGACGAGGAGCGTCTGAAGGAGGCCCTGAAGCGCAAGGAGAAGCGGAGAGCGCAGCGCAAGAGGCAGTGGGAGGAACGCACGGTGAGGGTGGTGGAGAAGATGCAGCAGCGGCAGGACAAGCGCAAGAAGAACATCCAGAAGAAGAAGAAGGAGAGGATAGAGAAGAAGAAAGCCAGGGCCCGGAAGAAGGGCCGAGTTCTGCCAGAGGACTTGAAAAAAGCTGGGTTAAAGTGAGAGGCAGCTCTGCTGGCATTGGGGTTCCAGGGTCTGTCACACGGGGTGTGTGTGAGATTCCCAGCCTCATCGTGCTAAAAAAACAGTTGTATGTTTGTTAATAAAGTTTTCTATCCTAAAGAAACACCTTCTGGCTGATTTCTAATAGGAATTATTATTTTTCTAAAGGAGAAGTGTGGGAAATATCAGTTGCTGTTACTTCCTCTGATGGGGCACAGTGTGTTTGCATCCCCTGGGAATGGGAAAGAGGAAACAAAAAGGCAAAAAGACCAAACATGGGATTCATCTCAACACAAAGATAGTAAAACCTTTGCTTATACCTTTGGAAAGGAGAGTGAATCTTGGATTCATTTATCCTCCCCACCACAAGAAAACTGGAAATAATTTTCAATTTTAGGCAGTGCTGTTCATTTATAAGTTATGTTTTATCAGCATTAGGTCAATGTACACATAAACACATGTACATTTGCATGGATTTATTGTGGAGCTAACTGATCTTTTTGGATCATCCATAGGACACACTGATCCTGATGGCAGAAGGATTGGCTCCAAGTCTGCCTTTGGCAATAATAAAAAATTAGGTTAAAAAAAAATCTGGCAACCACAGGTGCCTTCAAGGGTTTCTTCTCTGCACAGTTTACCAGTGCAAAATTGTATTGGGTCATTACCAATTTTTTCCTTTATTGTTGTTGGTACAGAAATATAAATGTGAATTTGAGCAGCTGTTTGCCCAGCTCAGCAGGGAAAGTACAGCTTGGCTGCTGGCAATTCAGCCTGGGGAAGATTGGTGGGAACAATCCAGAAAATAAAGCAACTCTGCCCCTGAGATCAGTCAAACCTTGCTGATGCCCTCCTGATCTTGGTTGGTGTGAACTGATAATTTATACTGAGCACAGGGGTGTTATAAATTGAGTCTGGTTGAATTCTGGATTCTCTCGATCTGGCTTTTTGGAAGAAGCCCTTTTCTGCCTTATGACTAAAGCTGAGAATGTGCTGGGAGGGAAACGCAGGCTGTGCTGTGCAGTGCTTCCCAGCTGGACCCCTGCCAGAGCCCAGGTGACTCCCTGGTGCAGCTGTAATCTGAGACTCTGCAGTGGATTTGTGCTGAATTTGTGTTCAAGCCTCAGGTGTGACCGAGCACATTTGTGTTCCTGCAGCCTGTTCCACGCTGGAGTCCAGCAAGGAAAGCTCTCCTCGGGCACAGATGGAGCTCTCCCCGTGGATATCTTCTCTTTCTTCACTTTCTGAACAGCCCTGCACTCACAGCTTGCCACTTCAGTTGTAGAAATCCGAAATCCACGTTTGGAAATCTGAAATAGTTGCTCTGCAAAGAATATTTTCCATGGAACGGTCTACAAGTGAGGTATTTATCAGCTGTCCAGAATGCTTTCCAAGCAGGGCTTGAAGATAAAGTAATGCTTTGTTCTGGGAGGTCAAGCAAGTTCATTTGGGAGTAACAGAGCTACTTTCAGCCATATCCCTTTTAAAAAACCCTCTGAACAAATTCGAGGAAGCTGAGTAACTATTAAAAATGCTTTAGCTGGGATTTCTGTTTGGTTGGAGATTCTTTCCTCAGCTACAACCACATCTATTTAATTTCTGTTTGTATTCATGGCAAACTGTAAATCAGTTGAGGTAAACCTCAGTGAGAAGGCTTTAGATGCAAAGGATGTTTCAGTCTCAGCTGGCTCTGGTGCTCTGGCAGGTTTGTACCACAGAAACTGAAAATAAGAGGGGAATGCATCAGCTGTGCTCCTAATGATGTAATATTTCAAAATATGTGTATTTCTCTTCCTGAGGGATTAGATGTTTACTCTGTAAAAAGACACGTGGACGTGCTCTATGTCCATTGCAACAGCTGAAACTGCACTAAAATAACCAAACACCCAGATATTTTTTTATTCTTTGTTTATTCTTTGTTAATTTTACTGCCCCGTTTGAGAACAACTATCAGTCCCCTTTCTTCTCTCTGTTCTTGAGCCTCTGTCCTTCCCCATCACCCAAATTCTGTGCTCTCAGCCTCTGTATGCCATGGAGACAGAGCATGGGTCAGGTGCAGAAAATGAGAATCCCCAGGAGACTCTGCAAAGGGATTGTTTGTGTATTCCTTTATGCTTTGGGAGGAAATGTTGAGAGGTTATTTATGCAATTGGAAAGTGGCATCAAGCTGGGAGGGGCTGCAAACCCCAAGGAAAACAGGATTCAGGAAAACAAATAGCCTGGAAATTGAGTTTGTTTCCATGAAGTCAAGTACAGGTTTTGTGTGCCTCCCACCTGGCTGGGAGAGGTTCCACAGAGAACACATGGATTGCATTTGGGCCCAGGCTGTGTCATCCCAGTGCTGAGGTCCTGCAAGACAGGCAGATGTCCTGTGGAATGCATGGACCGTGACAGCTTTTCAGTTTTGGGGGGCAATCCAGCTTTACTTCACTGCTGAGGGCTCAGCAGGGGAATTTGGGGTGCTTTGACACCAATTTAATGAGAATGGGCTGATTAGAGTCCAGTCAGAACTGACAGAAATAATCCCAGATCTTGTAGTTAGACAATTACAAAGATTGAAGGAGGTGACAGAAGAGAAGAGGGAAGGAAACATCAGAGTATGGAAAGGGAGACTGCCCGGACCTGGGCTGCAGCAGGTGAGATCCTGGTTGGAAATTTGGAAGCCTGCTGATGAGAAGGGCTTTCCTACCTGCTCTGTGTGCAGCCATCTCTCAAAGAATGCCTGAAAAACATCTGTTTGAACCCCCCTGTGCACATTTATCTGCTTTGCGTGTGCTGGAAGCATCAAGCACAAGGTAAGAAACGTGGCACTGACAAATCCTGGTGTCAGCACAGCAGCTCTCATGACACAACTAGCACAGGAATGAGATAAATCTGGTCAAAACACAGAACAACTGCCTGGGGGGGAAGGCTGTTTGTACTTCTTTCTGTGGTTGTGGATCTGCAGCATTTTCAGGCAAGAATCCAGAACTGCTCAGCATGAATCCATGAAGGTTTTAAGTGGTGGAAGGCCTTAAGATGTATATTTATATAGATGCACACACATACATAGATATAAGTGTGTATATACATAGTCATTATTTTTAAGTAGGATTTTGTGATGCTTCCTGGTGAAAGCTAATTAGATTCTCTCAAAGGAAAGTGAAGGAGAAGCACCAGTGAGGATTTCTGTGTGACACAGCAAAGCAAATTAAAGGACTTTTTTGCCACTTGTCTTTTTCCAGCCAAAGAAATTAAAGCAGGAAAATCACTCCTGCTTGTTCAGATCCATTGGCACTGTCCTGTGCCTTACCAAGGGCCACTAATGACCGCCTCTAGGATTACTCCAGCATCCTCCAGGAAGCATCATGTACCAGCTCCTCCCCTTAGTATAAATGCTGCCATCTTTATAAATGGTTGATAAACAGCCTTTTCCTCTTTTTATTTTCTTTTTCCTTCTCTGCAGGTTCCAATCACATTCTAGAAAGTAGAAAGCTCTGGCTGGAAATATATCTGGTTTGGTCCTGAGGAAGCAGGAGTGAGATGAAAGCCCACGAGCCTGATCCACAGCTCCCTGCTGCTGTCCTCACTGAAGTCAATAATGAAAGGAATAACAATTAATGTGCTTGTACTGGAGGCCCCACACAAATGCATTTTGTGTTCAACACGGGGACCAGCCAAAGTTTACACTGTGGGCACTTCTGCTTCCCTGTAAACAGAAAAAGAGATTGATTTGAGCTTTTAAGGTAAGACTGCTGGGGTTGGGAAAGTTGATTTTCATGGCTGTCGTAGAGGAAATAATTTCCTTGGCTTAATCTTTACCCAAGGTGCATTAGGATTGTGAAATGTTCCTTTGTTGGTCTCACACCTCAGTTTACCTTTCCTTGGGGCACCTTTGCAGGGAGTGCCCCCGGTGGTTCCTGGACTGTGAAAGGTGGAGTTAATCAGCTCAGGTGATAAACTGTGTTAGCTCTCTGATAGGACAGGAGTGAGTGTTTGATTCAATTGCAAAGGGTGCGTGCTTGAGGTGAAAGAATGGAATCTACAGAAAGTGGAATGAAATCAGAAAGGCTCCCCATGCACTAGAGCTGGGGTTGAAGCTCCCTGAAATGAAAAACTTGCTCAGACATTTTACAGATCTGCCTCAGTGCCCTGGCTCCTACAGTCTGATGCCTTCTGTGTTTATCACTTCAGAAAGACTGAAAGAGAAGCTACCAAGAAGCTCCATCCTCCTCTGAGAAATGATCAGTTTCTCTCACAGTGAGGCACTTACAGCCCTCTTCCCTTTATGTTTGCTCTCTGCAGAGTGAAAGCTGCTGGAATTCAGAAGTTGCCCTTCCCTCTCCTGCAGAAGATATGATTTCCAGGAAGGTGCTGCTGGGATCTCTTGTCTGCCTGGGCGGTGTTGCTGCAGTTATCTGGTAAGCATTTGCTGGCCAGCTCGGTCATACCTAAAACACCCTGTGTAGATCCTGTGCTAAACCTCCTAGAACACAAAAATAAAGGTTGTGCATTTTGTGGGAAGCCCCTCTTCCAGCTGTGAGAAAGAACAGCAATTTGTGTCATAGGTAAAGGAGCACTGGTAGAGGGAGAAGGCCCTGAGGGAAAGAGCAAAAAAGAGCAATTGGGTCCAAAGCAGGCTGCTAACACCGTAGTGACTCACAAACAAACGCTTGAGTAGAGAATATTCCAGTTACATTTCAGCTCAGGCCTTGCAGAGGTGATTATTTGTCTCTTCACACAGTCCAAACTCACTCCAGTGTCACCAGGGTCTATCAGACATCACAGCTTTCAAACACAGAATTCTGTAACTGAATATTCTTACAGCTGAGTATGGCTTATGGAGCAGACTCAAACATCCTTGGAAGGGAATCTGAGATGAGGCATTTCTGTTAAGTATTGAAATATTAATTATTAAATTATTAGGAATTATTGCAGTTTTATGATGCTGCAGTTTGCTGTACTTTCACCTTGTGGGTAGCTGCATTTTGCCTCAGCAGCAGGACACTGTGTTAAAATGTGAGCACAGCAGATCCTACACTAATTAATAAAGTAGATATGGAGTTAGCCAGATTTACCTCCCAAAATCTTTGCCAGGTCCTTAGGTGGTGTTGGAAAATCCTAGGAAGGTTTCCCTCAACATTTCCTATCTTAAAACATCTCTTTGCTCTCACAGGGCTGTAGCTGGGAGTGGAAAAGTTCATTACCTGCCCTACTACCTTCCCTGCCCTGAAATCTTGTGAGTATTTTGTTCTGTGCCTGATGAGTAACCCAGCTCATTGCTACAGTCCTGCTCTTCACTGCCAACACAAACACTGACCAACAAGGGGCTTGTTCTTTATTTATGAAGCTGTAATTAGTCACTCAAAACAAAAAGCTACCAATGCTGCCCAGGTGAGGGAGGCTTTGTGTGGTGTGGGTGCCAGGACTAAAGGGTTCCTTATCAGGGTGCAATCCCACAGCTGTGCTCTCAGGATCCCCTGACCAGACAGAGATACCTGAAGCACAGAGGTGAGATGAACAGGCTCAGGAGGAGTCTGGCACAGCCAGGAGTAACCCCCAGCCCTCATCAGGCTCCTGCTCTCCCTCTGAGCTCTGCTCTGCCCCCTCTCCAGGGATGTTTGTGCTGTGGCAGCACCTGAGCTCTGCACCCGAGCAGGTGAAGGGAGGCTGCTCCTGGGAAATACCTCCTGAGCTTGTGCCTGACCTAGCCCGGGTGCCAAGAGCTCTCCCAGAGCTGCACAGGAGAGAATTTGCACTGTGCAGGGGCCAGGGCCATGGCCCCAGTGACCTCCTCACTGCCACCTTGCCCCAGGGCTGGGACAGGACAAGCTGGGGCTTTTCCCATGACCTACTGTTCTTGTAAAAACAAAGCCAAGCCATGCAAATAGAAAAAAAAAAAGATGTTTCATGGAGGTATTTGTGATTATTCCAGCCCAGAAATGTGATCATTTCAGGTAGTTCAGCCCTCCAGGTGACCAGGAGCAGTTTTGCAGGGCGTGGAGCACATACATGATCATTGCTGACAGTCCCACAGGGATTTTGACCCCTAAACCCCAGTGTGATTTCCTCAGAGACTGGGACTGCTGCCAGCACCTCTCTGTCCCTGTTGTGTGTGTGTTCTGTCCCTTTGGGGAGGGTGTGCAGGGGATGCCTAACCCTGGGCCAGGCAGGGCAGCGTCCACAGCAGCTGGGGCTGGGTTTGCACAGCAGGTCCTGAGGCCAGGCTTGGCTGATATTTTAAGAAAAGCATAACAATCCCTTTCATTTCCCACCCCACCATGCAGCTCCATGAAACTCCAATACACAGAAGAGAAGCTAATCCAGCTTTTCCCCCAGTAAGTACTAGCTTTTTATCTCCTGACCTTTAAACTGCTGCTCCTCTCTTCCAGGCATATTCATGCACTATTCAATGGGTATTTCTTCCTTTTTTCAGATTATTTTATCAGCAGCCAAGAGTGCTGGCGCCAAAGTAAGTTTCTTTGTTTGAACTTTGTTTCTGCTGAGTTTGGCTTGGGCACTTTGCAGCACTCACAGAGTCCTGGGGCACACTGAGCAGGACCTTGTTCCACGAGAATCCAGCCACAGGGGTGTGCCAGCAGCTGCCTGTGCTGCCCTGAGGTTGGGTTTGGTTACTGTACACTCATTAACACACTTCCTGTTAATTCCCAATTATTACCTTAGCGCACACACTCTCTGACGTAGCCAGGAGCTCTTTTTGAGGTAGCAGATCTGTAATATCTGTAAGTAAGAAATTCCTTCTCTTATCTGTATTTAAGATATTACAGATCTGTGATATGAAAGTGGGAAATACCTTCTGGAGCTGTGGGGCCAGCTGTGGGAGAGCTCTGAACCCATTTCAGGGCAAAATGAAGCCGGTGCTCTGTGTGGCCTCCAGCAAACACAGCCAAAGCAGGGAGTTTAAGGGAAGATTTGGGGCAGCAGCTCTGAGAAGTGGCTTGGACAAACTGTCTGTTTGAGAGAGTTGTTGTTAAATTTCCTCAAGCTCAGGTTGTTACAGCCTCCTTTGGCCTGACTTTTATCTGGAGCAGTTCACCTTCAACAGCCACAATCTTTTGCATGCTAATAAACACACCCTGTTGGAACACACACTATATATATATTATTTCCCTCACATATTCAGGATATGCTCAGCCTGAATATTTCTTCCATATTGGAATAAATTTCTGTGCTAAATCATCTGGTATATTCTGGGACAAACGAGGGGTGAAGCCTGAAGCTTTTTCTGTGTCCTCTGCAGGGAGTTCACTGGCACTGAGAGGGTGACCATGACTCATTGGGAAACCCAGGGCAGCCCTGTAAAATCAAATTTACCAAGCTTAGAGAAATGAACATGCCTGTTTCCTTCCCTCTCCAATAAAGAGGATAATCAACTCAGAAACCCAGATCAGTCAGTACATTTTCCCCAACCCAAATTCTTCCTCCTGTATAATTTAATCTTTCAATCACAGGCATTGCTGCAGGAAGGAGTGCAAGTGTTATTCTTGTATCCTCTCAGACTGAAAGCATTAGATCTGGCTTGGAGGCTCTGACTGGACCAGGCTGCTCCCCACAGCCCCCCCAGTTTGGTTCTGGTGCTGTTTTGCCCTGGCACTGTGTCAGGTGGCAGCCCCCAGGTGTGGCCACGTGCTGTGTGTGACAAATTTCATTAGCAGAGGGCTCCTGGTCTGGAGCGAATGTGAGCAGGCTCCACCATAAATGACATCTCCTTTTAGAATCAAAAAGGCAAGAATGAAACGCTGAAAACAAAGCAGCAAATTGAAACAGCATTGCAGAGCTGTAACAGGGCAGAACCAGACTCTGCTGCATTTATATTCAGTATTTCCACTTCCCTCACAGGAGATTAAGGATTTTTTTCTAACTTTGTTACACATTTGAATGCTGGCTGACATACAGCATTTTAAATTATATCTGAATGTGTTGGAGCTATATATAAATACTGGGAAAATAAGCTGTCATGCTGCAAGCTGTGCTTTAATAACACAGCAATGGGCTATATTTTATAGCAATTTTCATATTATTATTATTACTTGTGTTTTAATCTGCCTGTTACACTCTGCATCAGGCTGATAGCAAATAGGCACAGCTTCGCATTCTGAGAGTTCAGTGGTCATTAAACTCTTCCCCAGCAGAAAAGTCCTTAAATGAGATTTTAGCAGATCCTCAGGTTTTTGCTGATGTGTTAAGTGCCTAATTTCAGCCCAGGAATTGAAATATCCATGCTCTGTAACCTCAAATAAGAGTGCAGGGAGAAAATATCTGAGCTAATACCCTCCATGGCGAATTAATGCTGATTCACACACTCCTCTAGCTGCCTTTTTCGTGCTTCTTTCTCATTTACTGGCCTCAAAACCAGCAGGAGCAGTTACATTTCATGAACATTTCTGGTTTTTTCCCCCTTCAGGCGCCAGGATGTGCTGACAGTCACACCATGGCTGGCCCCCATCGTCTGGGAAGGGACCTTTGAGCCTGAGATCCTGGACAGTGCCTACAGACCCCTGAACCTCACCATAGGGGTGACAGCCTTTGCTGTTGGAAAGTAAGGGAAGCACTCAGTGGGCACTGCTCTTGGGGTGATTTCCTCTGTGGAAAGATGATTTTGGCTTTCCTTTTCCTGAAATGTGCCCCAGTTTCGTGGGCACAGTTCTTGGGGTGATGCCCTTCCTCTGTGGAAAGATGATTTTGGCTTTCCTTTTCCTGAAATGTGCCCCAGTTTATAGGAGGTTTTGTGCCCATGTAATCACACAAGGCCATGGGATGACGACACATGAGGTTCCTGAGGTGTGGGCAGTGTTTTTGAACAATTAGCATGTGGCTTGGGAATTAGAGCTGGTCAAAATGGGGATAATCCACTTATTCCTCATCCTCCACCACACCTGGTAGTGCTAATCAGGGAACTCTCCTCACTCCTTGTCTTGCATTCTCTAATGCTCTTCATAATCCACCACACATCCCCTTGGAATCCCAGAATGATTTGGGTTGGAGGGGACCTTAAAATCCATCTCCTTTCACCCCCTGCCGTGGGCAGGGACAGCTTCCTCTAGACCAGGTTGTATCAGCCTGTCCTGGGACACTTCAGGGATCCAGGGGCAGCCACAGCTTCTCTGGGCACCCTGTGCCAGGGCTTCCCCACCCTCACAGGGAACAATTCCTTCCTCAAATCTGATCTAACCCTGCCCTCCTTCAGCTGGAGGCCATTCCCCTGATGCCTTGTGAAGGCTGACCTAGAACAGAGACTAGATGGAGCAAAAGAACAAAGTAGAGATTTATTAAGAGGCCTCAATAGATACACCTTGGGCAGCACAACCCAAAAATGGACAGCTGGTCATGAGGTCTCACACTTTGATCAGCTCCATTTGCATATTGGAGTTAATTGTCCAATTCCAGCTTTAGGTTATGGAGTCCCATCCTTGTTTTTCCCTCTTCAGTCCATGTTTGTGCTCTTGGGGCTGAGATTTGGATCATTTGTCCTTGGTCCCCAGCTGGAGCAGGAATTGTTTTGTCACGCTGCTCTGTGCAGAGAGCTCACCATCCCCTGATGTGAACCCAGACCCTCAAACCAAAGCAGCACAGAATGTAGAAAATAGAAAATCTAAACGTAAAAATGTAAAAAATAGAGGCATCGCCCCTCTCCTCTGTCACCCAAGCCCTTGCAGGAGGGGCACAGCTCGGCCCTGCTGGTCCCTGCTGTTCTTCTGTCACCCAAGCCCTTCAGAAGGGGCACAGCTCGGCCCTGCTGTCCCCACTGTGCCCACAGCTGTGTCTGCTCAGGTACACGAGGTTCGTGCGGCGCTTCCTGGAGTCGGCGGAGCAGCACTTCATGCGGGGCTACCGGGTGAACTACTACATCTTCACTGACAGCCCCCAGAGCATGCCCCACGCCCAGCTGCAGCCGGGGCGCAGGCTGGTCGCCGTCCCCGTGCAGAAGCACCTCAGCTGGCAGGAGATCTCCATGCGCAGGATGGAGGCCATCAACCGGCACGTGGCCAGGGAGAGCCACGGCCAGGTGCAGTACCTCTTCTGCCTGGACATCGACATGGTGTTCCACAACCCCTGGGGCCCCGAGACCCTGGGGGACATGGTGGCAGCCATCCACCCTGGCTACTTCCACGTGCCACGGGAGCAGTTCCCTTATGAGAGGAGGAGCTCCTCGGCGGCCTTCATCCCTGAGGGAGAAGGGGATTTCTACTACGGAGGGGCCGTGTTTGGAGGCTTGGTCAAGAAGGTCTATGAGTTCACCAAGATCTGCCACATGACCATCCTGGCAGACAAAGCCAACGGGATCATGGCAGCCTGGCAGGAGGAGAGTCACCTCAACAGGCATTTCCTGTCCCACAAACCCTCCAAGGTGCTTTCTCCAGAGTACATATGGGATGACAGGAAGCCAAAGCCGCCCGAAATCCGCCTCGTACGTTTTTCCACTGTGAATAAGAACTACAAGGAGGTCAGAAACTGACCATCCCTGCAGAGAGATCCTCCACGCAGCCAAACCCACGCAAATTAGTTTCTGCACAATGTGCCCCACCTTGAATTTCTGTTTCTGGTAGGAGCAAACTGGGAAGGGAACATGTGGATAGTTCCTCTGGAGAGCAGAGTATAAACACATTTCAGAAGCAGCAAAGTGCAGGTGAGACTGAAAAGCTTTCTGGATTCCCACTCTTTGTAAATACATCCTGCTTGAGGCTGCAGCACACAAAAAAGCATCCACAAGGCCAGTTATCCAATGCATGGCTGCAGTTGCCTTTGCCTGAGCGTTTTCCAGAGACCTGGTGGAAATTTAACAAGATCAAAATGGCATTTGACGTTCCTGTGGAGAAGAAAACCTTGGGTTTTGGTAAAGACCTTTTCACTTAAAAAAAAAATAACATTGCAGGGCAATAAATTTTCCTGAATTGTGATTTAAACTAACGCCTTTTGTCAGAATCAGGAGGAAACTTGCACTCAGAGCTCGTTGTCCCTGCCTGGTGTGCAGCAGGATTTCTTGGACATTCTCAGCAGAGAGCTGGTGCCAGGCATTGCCAGTAAGAGCCCTGGTCTGACAGGACAAACAGCGTGAACTCATCTAGCAGTTATCTCCCAAATTCCAGTCTGTGCTTTGGAGACCCAAGTTTAGACAGAACTGGCACAGCTCAGAGCAGGCTGAACTTCTTCAGGTTTATTTCAATCACAGATGTGCTCTGAACCTTTTCCCTGGGTCACATGTCTCTGTGGATCATGTAATCTTTTCCAACACAGAAAATCTGGTTTGGAGATGTTCATGTTCCTCTCCATTGCTTCAACCCTTTCCAATTTTTCTGAGCTCTGTGAAATAAATTGGCGAGGAGCCTCTGGAGCTGACAGCACGAGCTGATGCCTTTCCAGCAAACAGGATGATTTCATTCCATAATGAAATGCTCTGGAGGAGCTGGGAGTTCAGCGTGGAGCTGGAAGTGGGCTGGGGTTAACATTTCCTCTCCTTGGGTGTGCTGAGGAGCTGAACCAGGCGTTTAGAGCCTGGCAGCTCCCTCGGGGGAGCCCTGGCAGCTGAGGTCACACTGGGGTGCCTGTGCCACCTCCCTGGTCACAGCAGGGCTGCCATCAACATCATCTCCCCGTGCTGCAGAAGGGCTGAGCATGTTCTCTCAGGGGGAGCAGGGAGAGGAGGAGCAGGGTGAAAGGGTGAGCTGTTTCTAAGGGAACAGTTTAGGGGGGGAAAAAAAGCTAAAAAATAAAAAAATAGTTTAAAAAAAGCTAATTTGGCAGAGAGAGGGAAAATAGGGAAGAGGTGCCTGACTGTTCCTGCTTCTCTTCACATGAGAAAATTGCTGTATGGCAGTGAATCAAGTATGCAAAGCTTTAGGGCCCCACCACTGATTGCAGATGACTTAACGAGCCGTTTCAGTCCTGTGAGCAGGCTGGAAATGGCACTTGCCACTGTCATCGCAGGCATTTCATCTTCCAGAAGACTAATTAGAAAAGCTTTCACGGACCCATAATACAGATAAGGTACCTGAAATACCTCCAGCCCCAAAGCCCCAGTGGCAGCTGGGTTGGCTGATTTGTGCTTAATCCAGCAAAGGGTCTTTATTATATTTTCTCCTGACTGTTCTTAGTGATGTGGTGCAGGAGGAAGATGCCCCTTTACATAAACTAAACCAGAACTGAAACCCCTGCCATATATGTTGGGTAACCAGGCACCTCAGCTAAGCCAAAATGGTGAGGAAAAATACTCATCCAAATAGTTCCAGAAAGATACATTTCCAACCAGCCCAGGATTAATACTGTCTGTTTCTTATTTGTTAAATGAGTTAGGGCCTCAAGGCCATGCTGAAACTGGGTTCTCATTATGCTAATTATACATATATGCATATGGATTCTTTACCAGCCAGAAGGAGCTGTCCAGTCAAGCCAGATAATTTTATCTCCTGGTGTCAGTGCGTGGCTGGGCTGGGCTAGACCTCGTAGAAAACTACTCAGATTCCAAGAAAAACGTGAAGTTCCATAGCAGCCACAAATCTATAGATCAGCTGTAGCAATGGCTAATTCCCCTCATGCCTTAATTCTGCTGGAAATTGCTCTGGGTTTGCAGCCATAGGGCTTCATCCTGCCACGTTAATGATTGGATTTCTGTGCAGACACTCATAAATCCTCTGTGAGAGGAAGCTCTGCAGCACAGATGATGGGTGATAGAGGGTGGTCTGTGTTTCTGGGGTACCTGTTTTGGACAAATGGTGAAGGGCTTGGTCTGAGCCCTGCATCCGAGCTGCCTTTTGGCTGAATCCTCAGCCCTCTGATTGACACCATAATGGCCTGGCTCGTGCTGTGCCAAACATGTTTATTTTCCTGGCAGGCCTGCAGCTTCTCCCCAGGGGAATGGCTTGTGTTGTGTGACACAGTTCTGCTCCACGGGGCTGTGGTTTGAAGCACTACCTACCAACTCCTGGTGCCTCCAGGGAGAGGAGAATGTCTGCAGAAAAAAACCCCCACAGCGCCGTGTGGGAGATGCTCCCTGAATCAGCTCGTGCCCTGCTGTAATTAATGAAAGGCTGGACTTCTGTTGTCATCCCCTGCTGATTAATCCCCTTCCCCCAGCAGCAGCAGCCAGCTTTCCTTCTCCCAGTTTGCATTGTGCAGCCTGAGGCTTGTGTGCACGGTGGGAGCTTCACCAGCACCTGCTTTCTGATGTGCATCTCCCACCCACACCCAGTGGGGAAACTGAGGCACGTGATAGAAAGGCAGCACAGTGCCACTCTCATGGGGGACAACGTTGTCTTACGTGTTCTTGTGCCAAAGGAATTTGGACTTGGAAATGCAGGGGACTGCATGAAAACTGAATCACCACGTGTAAATAAACCCCACTGCCTGGGGATGTGGTTGTGCTCTCAAGGTATTTCCCACTCAAGCCCTTGACCCAGCCTCAGAGCAGCAGCTTGTTGCCCTCCCAAGGGCCCCTTTTTCCTTCCATCCCTTTCTGCTCGGCTGGAACAGACTCATCATTCATAGTCCCTCTAATTTAAGCACTCATCTGACAGGCTGTTTCTTTCCTTCTCCCTGCTGCTGTCTTGCCCAGTGCATCCACCCCCAAAGGGCAAATTTCTCTGTGTGATATGAAAGAGAAATTTCCAGCACTGGATATGATCTGCGGTGGGGCCAGGCTCTGATCCTCTCATTCTCCCCACTGATAACACAAGAATCATTTCCACTTAGCCAGATTAGGATTATTTTCCTCTCTGGTTTGGATTTCCCATAACCCTCCCACAGGTGATGTTCCCTGACAGTTTTGACCAGAAATGTCGTTTTGTACCACATGGAAGCATTCATGAAAGGACTGGCTTAGTCAAACTCTCTGTGGGTGAGATCTGTGCCTGTGGGGCACGGAAATGAGATGATCTTTGAGCAGAGGGGGTAAGAACATCAGTCACACACTCCCTGCACAAACCCAGCTTGTGCAAAAGCCACGTGCATCCGGCTGCCTTCGTGCAGCTGGTGGTGGCAAGGAAGGCTGGGAGCTCCCTGCCAGGCTGCTGGCCTCACTCCCCTGCCCTTTGTCACCTCCCCTGTTCAGCTTTTTGAGGGAGGGACTCTGTCTCTTGCTCTGTGTTTGCACTCAGCGGGGATTTGCTCTGATCTCGAAGGGCAGCTCCTAGCACCAAGGTTATTATTTTGTCACTTCAATCCCACCTGCTCTGCTTCACCTCCTGCCCCTGCAAGTCCCCGTGGGACCCCGGGGGTGACACACACAGAGCAACAGCTGCTCTCCAGGTGGAGTGACAGTGACAGAAACAGTGACAGTGACTGTGACAGGGGTTCTGGGGACAGCAGGAACAGGAGAAGGAGTTACAGGAGTGGGTTGGCTTGTACTTTACTCACGGTAAATCCCCAACCCTGGAGTTCTGCTCCACACAATCAAATGTTTTAGGGAAGCATCACTAGAAAAACCCATCTGAGGAGTGACATTTGAGTGTCTGCCTGCCCACCAGACTCCCTCCTTTCCCCACGAGTGTTGCTGTACTGACGTGACTTTTCCTGTGCTATATTTAGCTGAAACATAGATCCACCAAATGTCGCTGTTTTGTGTAAAACTAGTGTAAAGCCTTAGGAGTAAAGAGGCAGTTTTAACCACAAATCTCCTCTGCCTGTATGCCCACATCATCCCCCTGCTCCCCTGCTGAACCTCCAGCCGATTTAAAGCAAGCCAGATGAGTACAAATTACATTTAAAAAGCGCTTCATTCCGGTGTGGTTTTTGGCGAGTTTTGCCAGCAGCAAATCACACAGCTCTAGACCTTTTGACGTGCGTGTTTTTCTCGCCGCGTTTCTCACTGACACCGTTACTATAATTAGAAAGATGTCGCTCTGTAGCAGCATCCAGCGCCAGGGGCAGAGCCCTGGCAGCACCTTTTCCTTTCCTGGCTGCGCTCCCCGGCCAGAGCTGCTGGTTCAGCTGGCCCCGAGCCACGGAGGAGCGGCACGGGCAGGTGCTGCGGGCTGTGCCTTGTCGCTCACTCCCTGCAGAAATCGGGGATGGCTGCTGGGGCCAGCACGGGGTGTTGTGCCCAGGAGCAGCCCCGCAGCGCCTGGGAGCGCTCGGCCATGGACTGCAGCCTTCTCCCGGCTCCTTCTCCCCGTGGAATGGCTCATGGCATCGGCCTCATCATGACAAACGATGGGGACCGGAGCTGTTTCCAGGGAAACCCCGCTGGCTCCGGCAGCGCTGCCCGGGGGTCCCCCCGCACCCCATTTCGGTGCCGAGCTCAGCGGAGAGGAGCGTGGGGTGCCCTGGCTACCCGGGTCTCTCCTCCAGAGCCGGACAGCCCGTGGGGTCCCGGGGGTCTCTCCCGACCACTCCCCAATTTCTTCTCCCCGCTCCCCGCCGGGGTCCGCCCGGTGCCTCCCGCTCCGGGGGGAAAACACCCCAAAAACGCCAAGCATCGCCCCGGTACCCCCGGAGCGGTGTCCGTGCGGAGCAGCCCCGCTGCCGGGGCCGGGCGGAGCCGGAGCCGCCCCCTCCCTCCCTCCGTCCCTCCCTCCCTCCGTCCCTCCCTTCTTCCATCCTCGCCCCCGGCCCTGAGCGCGGCCCCGGCCCCGCAGCGGGGCCAGCGGCTCTCGGCGCGGCCGCGGGGCTATGAGCGGGGCACGATGATGATCGACAGCCAGGTGAGTGCGCCGGGAGCCGCTTCTGTCCCTCCGGGCTGTCCCCCGGCTCGGTCCCGGCTCTCAGGCGGGGCTCGGGGCGGTGTCCGCGGGGGATTGATGGGGGCGCGGAGCCGGGGGGCTCTGTAGCTGCAGGTGGCCGTGCCTTGCTGCCTCCTGGGGCCGGGGTCACTGGACGTGCCAGCAGCCCCGGTGTGCAGCGGAGGAGCTTTGCCGAGGGAGCGGGAGGAAGTCTGTTTTTCGGTGTTTTTCCCTTGATGTTTTTTTCGCTTTCTGTTTGTACGATGGTTAATGCGGCTGGGAGAAGAGGAGCTGGCGGATGGGGAGGGGAAGGGACAGGTTTGGGACAGGCTGGGAGGGCGCCGCGATGCTGCAGCAGCGCCGTGCTGCGATGCTGCTGCCAGGCTGGCGCTGCTGCCCGCCGAGCCAGGGCCGGCTCCCCTGGCACCGCTCAGGCCAAGGGGCACCAGCAGGTCCCTTGTCTCTGCCTGGTGTGTTTATGAGGCCAAAAAAGCTAAATCCAGCCGAGGTGGGCTACAGCTCTGCACTCCCAACCCCCCTGGTGCTTTTGGGGTAGGGGAGGATGAAGCAAAGGTATGAAATTTGGGGGTGGCACCAGAGCATGGCTCTGGGTTTGGTCCTGATGCTCCTCTGATTTTTGTTTTTTCTTCTTCTGATGTTTG